CCCACACACATTTACTTAGCACCCTGACTGCAGCGTCCAGCTTACCATTTGTGAATTTTCAGCTTCCCATTCGTTCAAAGATCTTGTTAAGATTCTTAGACTTATTAATAAAAGTGATGTGTGAATTTGCCTCTATCCCTATCCTAAACCTCATCTTTCTTCTTTTTCTGCTTCTATTAATATACTAGTAAATCTTCTGGGTCCCTTTGCAGTATTTCCATAGGGCCACCTTTGCATTTCCAGCCATTAGAACGACCTTACTGTGTATCTCTCTTTTTCCCCAATCACTTCAAATCCTATTGAAAAATCTCTTCCTTGCCTTGCCTCCTAACTTCTGCTATTTCTCTCTGTTGCTGTATTTTCTTTAGATGCAAAGTTTTGTGGAGAACACTACCTAAAGAGATGCTACGTACAGTTGAGCACAGGGACCGGTGGAGAAGGATGTTGTATCAGCTTTTTCTGTCCCTGTGCCAATACTGCTCTCCCTGTGAGGGTGCTGGGGAGGCTTTGTGTTTCTGCTCCGGAGATCTTTCTCATGTTTGTGACAACTGATGCCAACTTCAGTTTCTCCATGTAACGATGACTCTGGATATCACCGAGTGAGTGCAACTGATACAAAATGCCACTTAATGCTTCTTACAGAAAATGCAAGTCGCACCATTTCCAGATTGGCAACCTGGCCTCTTTTTTTTTTTTTTAACAGAAGTAGTTTTGGTGGTGCTCAGTCATTCCCAGGTGTATGCTTTGTTGCATGAATGACATCTGGGAATATTTTTTTCCCTCACACAGCTGCTAGCCATCTGTTGCTAAGTTGAAAAGTGAACAAGTTTTAAATGGGAGCTGAAGGCCAGGGGTGCTAAATTCATTTCAGCAGTCCTTCAGACTGAAGCACAGGAATTGTATTTATGTAATCACAGGTTGTTCTGACAACCTGTCCTTTGCAGCTGCCAGAGTTGAACTGCTCGTGGTTACTTCAACAATGATTAACTGAAAAGTGACTTTAACACGGTCATGTTGTCAGGGCGTTCCGTTAAGTGCTCGTGTCGTCTCAGGCTAAACATCAGATTCAGCACGTGTCCACTGTGTCTGAGAGAATGCTTTCAGTTGAAGGAATTTCTTGATGTAAGAGCTTCCTCCTTGATCTGTAATGCTGAAGTCAGGCTTTCTGCCATTCCCAATGGATGAGTACCCCTCTGGGTAGGAAAACGTGACCTTGCCATGCAGCAGCAGAGCAGCCCAAGGTGATGGGAGAGCATGTGGCAAGTGAATTCTCAATCCACACCATTTCCAAGTAAGATTTTTCTGAGCTCCCTCAGTCAGAGATAGACAAGTTGTGTCGTGTGGTTCGGTTACTTTAATTCTCTGCTGGCACCTGTTGGAGACAAACATAACTTTTATGCCCTGCTGCTTTTGGTAGGTAGTTGGAATGCTACTCTGAGCCTGCCCGCATTGCTCTCCAAAAAGCTGTTTCAAATTAAACAGACTAATGTTATTATTTTATAGCTGCCCATGTATCGTGCTGACTGGTAATACTTCTAAATAACTGGGTTCTCATGCCACAGGCTGACTGCTTTTCAGTGGTAGGTCTTGCTGTAAGTCCCAAGCCCTTGCAGTCTCTGAAAGCAGCGGACTCTTAGTGAGTTATACAAGCCAAGTGTCCCCAAAGAGGATTCATTTAATGGATGTGTTTTTCAGAGAAATATGTGGCTAGGTCCCTTTTACCTGCCTGATCTCTTTTACATGGGAAAGCCCTGCTGTGTTGTCTTGAAGAAGCATCTGGCAGGAATTGCCTGTTTCTTTTTCCAGGTCACCTGCCTTTATGGAGCATGTTCTGTCTTGACTGCAGTGAGTATTATTCAGGCTTCAGCCAGATTTCTGAGGCAAATGCAAGCGCAAACAATGTGTCTCTCATCTTGTTTTTCTGTCCTATTCATAGCTGTGTATTGCCTATAATTGCCTACAATGATTCCTGCTTTTTTGACAGGAACAGAGGCCACCATTCCTGTTTCATACCTAAGTCAAAAGGGTATGGATTAAGGATTTTATACAACAGTTTAAGGCTCTTCAAAAGATGTGATGAGAATGTAGCTTTGTAGTCGTTCTTGCTCTGCCAAAAAAAAAGTGAGTAGATTGAAAAGACTTTTTTTCCTTATTGATAATTAAAAGGAAGACACAGACGTTTAAAACTGTGTTTTAAAAGTGAGTCACAGAGGCAAACAAATGAGAAAATAGCTTTGCTTTTCCTCTAACTTTCTTCTTGTAGAAAACAGGCAGTAAGTGATGAAATCTGAAAAAGCCTGGTATGGTCAGTTTTAGACAGGCTGCAACTCTGAAGAGTTGCCCTGAAGTCTGTGGATATCTAGCACCTTCTGCCTGGGCTGGTGTCTGGCCTACCAGCATCGAGCAAGGGGGCAGCAGTAATGATGGCACCTCCGGTGACCAGCCTGCCTTCTGCTGTGGTGCCCACATCACCCCAAAAGAACACCCTACCAAAACAGGTCTGTATCGGCAATGTAGAAGGGACAGTTCAGAAGAAGCTCGTGTCAGTCAGTACTTGCTCTCTTTCAGTCAGAGCTCAGCGATAGCCTGCACGTTGACCTTAAAAACCATAATTTGATAAGCAGAGTAACCCAGTGTTTCCCAAACACAGGTGAATTTTCTCTGATGTTGAATCTGATCACACTGCAGCTGGTTTGACAAAGACACTGCAAATATGTACAAACCCAAAACGCAGAAAGCTCAGATTACTGCAGAAGTCACACAGCCATTCCTCCAATTTTGAAAGATGGAACTGGTGTTATCTACAGAGGTGCTGCATGTTGACTTACGTCATGTCAAAGGATTGTTTCTCTCTCACATTTTTACATTAACTGTTGTGTTCCTACTAGGCCCTAGCATTGCATTTACTTTTTTGACCACTACTTAAACTAAAAGCATATTTCTAGAGAGCTGTTCACAGTGACTGAGATCTAAGTGGTCATAGTTAATTTGGAGATAAACAATATGTGTGTATAGATATGCATGTATTTCCTCTTCATGACTTTCATTTCTTGACATTGAGTTTCATCTGCCATTCTTTCACTCCATTGCTTTATGTGCAAGATACCTCACAGCCAATTTTGGTTTTGAGTATGTGAAACGGTTTTGTTGGGTTTTTTTCTGTATATATTTTTTTCATATGTTTTTTTCTGCCACTGGGAGAACAGAGCATGTGTGGATACTAAAAAGTACTAAGTACGTCGAGCTGGATGTTGTACACCGGAAGCAAGCTCGAGGCACATGAATGAACTACGTAAGGGCGAGCTGGGAAGGCATTAAGGAGAAGTAGGAAGGAGGATCAGAGGCGGGAATATCTTGCTGGTGGGTATCTAACTCTTCAATATCTTCTGCGGCAGAGAAGGCGAAGAAAGGAGTGAGGCTTAAAACGAAAATGGCAGATTCTAGAGATGAGAGAGGAGGAGATAAATGCTGGGGAATTAAAATACTGTGATGGGAGAGAAAGCAGGAGGAACCACTGTGAAGAGAGGCAGCGAGACGTGTTTCAAAGGAAACCAGATGCCGGAGTGTTGCAGTTAAGTTCAGTGGTGTGGGGGCTCCTGTGGTGTGTTGGGCTGGGCTGGAGGGGAGAAAGCAATGCCCTTGGCTCTACCAGAGTACATTCTTACTGGGATGACTGACAGATCGACTTCACACACATGAAAGACAGGCTTTGACATGTGGGTTTTATTGACTGAGAGTCAGGGTGGAAAAGGTGTTTGCACATGCCACCATGGCCTGAAAGAATCCCCTCCCAACCTCCTAAAGTAAAATTAACCTGAGGAAACAAAGCATGTCTCAACAGTGTGAGGCGGCCTTCTTTTTTACTTATTGCTCAGGTGTCATGACTCCAGATTTTTACCATTGCTTAAAAGGCCTTTTACCTGCAAGGAATCCTAACGGTGGCAGTCAATGATACATTCCTGTTCCCCCTTCAAGTACCTGTACTGATGGCTTTGCAATCTTGGCATTGGAACTCTGACCAAGTAGGCAGAAAGGACTGTCAGCCTGAACCAGCAGCAGATCAAACATCTTTCCATCTGTCTTTTTTACTAAGCTTTCCTTGCCCAGACTGTCTCTTGGTCATTCTCCCTCTGGAGAAATGATACCATTTCATCAGTAAAATGAGACGAGCTCTCCAGGCAAGCCACAGACTTTGGCAGAGGGTAAGAGGCGTTATGCCCATCAGGATTCTTTTCTGTCGGAAGTGCAGTCCTTTCTTGCAGCAGTTCCTCTCACCTTTCCATTATCTGGTTCTTCTAATACGCTTATATGTAGCTTTTGCTCTTCCACTCTCTACCACCAGATAGCTCTGTTCTCTCTTCCTTGGGGTGGAAGGAACAGTGTCTTACTGGTGGGGAAAATGGTGCCTCTAGAGATATTTTTAGTTGCTCAGGTATAGCAACAAACTAGAAGCCCATTTAACATTTGGAAAAAAAAAAAAGGACGTTTTATATGAAACTGGAAGATTGAATGGGAAGGGAAACAGAAGAAGGTGAGAGCATAAAGGCAGTGGCTTTTCTTCTGGTTTTCTGATAGTTCTTGCAGATCCATATAAACATGAACACTGAAAGTTGCCACTGTCCCTTTATTTTTTTCTGGAAAAAGTGTGCGCTTGATATCCATCCAAGATGGAATAAAATGGAGGAAAAGGGGACATAGGTGCCAAGGGCTCACTGTTCTGTTGCTTGCTGGGCAACAGCAGCAGGTGGTCACAGTAAGTTTGATGCTTTGGAACTAAGAATTTTATTGTACCTTTACTGCAAGTCATGGGATCTCAAAGGTGATCCACTGAACATGGAATTGTCCAAGGTTGCCTAGTTTAGGAACGGCTTTGTATCTGAGTGAAAGACTGCCATCAGTCTGGTGCTACCCTCACTGTAACACAGACTTTGCCTTCCATAACTTCGGAAGCTTTTGTATCGAGCTTTCATAGTTCTGGTAGAATCGCAGGCTAAATGAAGTCATGCGTAAGCCGGCTGGGAAGTCCGCTGCTTAACCCACTCACAAATCAGCTGGTGAGCAATGGCCTGTTTGGGAGGGAACCAGGGTAAAAAACTACCATCGTCTCGCTTTGAAGATCTGGGCTCTCTCTTGAGACCCTCCACGATTTCCTCCAGGCCAAACCAACGGGCCTCCTCTAGTTCCAGGCTGTTCATACTGATCTGGAAAGAAGTCAGAGAGTACCAGTTCCTTAAATCAGATTTAAATGCGGGCAGCGGTACCTTGCTTGTTCTTGCACTCACAAAGATCCTATGCTAGAATGCCCAGAGTGCTTTATCCATGGCTGAATTAAGTGCTGATGCCAATACAGTAAAGGACATTACTATCCACCAGTGCTTTCTTGTCTTGGTTTCCTTAGGGAAGCCACAAGTCCGCTAGCCCTATTCCGTCACGGCACAGTAATCAACATGGCAAGATCTGCATGTTTTATGGCAAATATGATATTCATACTACAGAGTAACTCCTCTGCAAAGTTCAGAGGAAAATATATAGGGATATTGGGCTCTGGGCCTGTACATTTGCAGTGACCTGTGCAAAATCTGGCACTTTGCAACAGAAGACACGATTATTTTGAAGTTTGTTTTTCACTTGTAGAGAAAGCCGATGGAAAACTGCATTTAGAGAGGGTCTGATGCTCTCCAAGCTAAAGTCTGTGGACTGAAACATATTTTGCTACGTAAGGCGGGCAGTGAAATGCCTCAGGGGAACCTGAGTCTGCTCACCTCAGCCTGCTGTGCTCTCACCAACGCGTGACAAGCTATCATTAAGCAGCTGCTGGGAAAGGGCCAATGCTGAGAAGCTGAGTACTGGAGTGATTCCACCTCCAGGCCCACTTCTTCTGCCACCTCTCGCCGGACTGTCTCCTCCACGTTTTCACCTAGAAGCAACCAAAGTTAGGTAAAGATAGCCTGGCCTCAGGGCAGCAAACCATGTAGGCACGCTCATTTCTGAGGTGTTCCAGCCCTGACTGCTCACACGCATGCAGGAGCTCCAACTGTGCTGACATAGAAACACTTGTCAGCAGGATGCTCAATTAAATTCATCAACAATGCTTGCCTCCACTAAACAGAGGCATCAGAGACATTTTTGGCTTTGTCTCTATACAGCTGGTGGACAGAACAATGCTGCCTCTCTTCACCATTTCCCTTGTTAAGCCATTTTCCCTCCTGTAACTAGAGGTCTGTAGTTTTTGCTCTGGGCTAGACTGCACTAGATAGAAAATGGACTAAAAAAGTATCTGGGGTTCTCACCTGGGGAGTCTTATACTTGTATTTACCATCAGGGACTAGAGCAACCGATATACACCCATAATTCCCATTCCCTTCAGGTACGTACAGCTATTTTGAATTCTGTCTGAATGGGAACACCAATCTATTTAGATCCAGTATGTTTTTCCCTCATATCACCTATGTGTCCATCCTTCTCTGCAAACAGGCGTTTGGCTGATGTCCCCCCGTTCTGCGCCTCCACCACTGCCGTGATCAGAGACCACCTTACCCATGTCACAGAAGCCTGAGAGAGCTGTGTACATCCCCTGGGGAAATGAGGGCTGTCGTGCGAGGAGGCACCGGCTCCCATCAGACACTAGGGTGATAACCACTGGAGACATCTAGCAAATGCATCAAAAAGCAAAGCAAGAAGTTCAAACCAAACCAGTAAGTGCAAATTGTTGTTTTTTTCTAGCCGGTTGAGGGTCACTAGATGAACACTAAAGAAAAAGTACCCAGCTACAGGCAAAGCACTCCTGCTGCCTTTTACAGGTTCCCCTCCAGGCGAGCCAGCAGCACTGGCTTGTCACCACAGAGGCCCTGCCTTGCTTACCTTTGCTGTTCAGGCGCTCACCTGCGGATAGTAAATTATTCCGCTGGCATGGCAGACACGCTTGCTTCCAGCTACGTTTTTCTGAGTGGGCTGCCCAGTTTTGCTACAGTACTGGTGGGAATCGTGCCACCGGAGAAGCGACTGGGCCTGCAAACACCAAGAGAGGAACACAAATCTTATTTATAGCTGGGGCAAAGAGATGATTCAGAGCAGTCTCCCTGAATAATACTTTGCTGTCTTCTCCACAGCAGTCATAGGGATAAATTCTCATTATGTTTGGAAGCCTCAGAAAGGTAAATGAAGCACGGGCACTGCTTTGAAAAATGGCAGATTCTCCAACTGATGTTTCATGCTTCTTGCTTTAGCATCCAAATTTGAGCATGTTCAAGGGAGGTGGGGAAGAGTTGTTCATTATTGGGATGTAATGAGAGTAGTAATGGGAACAGAACTATTCTAAGGAGTCTCCAGCCCTGAATATCTTCTTGAAAAATAGCCCAAGCACCACAAACATTACAGAGCAGGAAAAGAAACACGAGCTATTTCTACTTGTGGGTCAGGACAGCTGATTTTCACACAGGTCTTTTCTTATGGCTTCCAAACATAGGGCATCTGCAGAGTAACAGCTTATAAGTGAGTAGTTTTAAAAGAGCAGCTCCGGGAGAAGATCTGTAAGTTCATTTGTGAAATTCAGTTTGCCTAGAAGACTATAGAAAACTAGTGTGTTATGGTTGTTAAGCTGAGGACAAGCTGGGATTGCTGTGACTATTGCTAAGATCACTATGCTTCACACTGGACATACAGCACGTTGATGCTAAATGGCTAATGACTGCGGTAATTTTTAAGCCCCTTGTCTGTTTCTCTTTCCGTTGCAGCTTGCTTTTGGGATTGCAAATTTAGGAACACTGCTGTAATTTACAGTATGCTTGTACCTAGGTCACTGAAAGTGCACAGTAGGTACTTCCACAATACATATTAAATCATAAAACAATATGGGAGACAAGGAGAAGGGTTGATGTTAGAAATCACAGCTTCTTAAAGTAAAAAATCCTATACAATACCGAAGCCAGCAAAGGAGAATCCTTCCCATCCACTACAAAGAGAGCCTTTCGTAAGTCAGTAAACGATCCCTTGAGTTCAGACTCAATGACTGATTTCTCCAAGGCTCCTGTTTAAAAAAAAAAAAAAACCAACAACAAAAAGTCTTTGATGTCATAAATTGCAGTCATTATCCTAACTTTACGCCCTTCATTGTTCCGGTATACAATTTCTGGAAGTTCCCATGGAAGTGACATCACATCAGTGGTAACATTCCCAAACATTAAGTGACCTGCCAACAGCCCACCTTTACTGAGACATGCACAGGAACAGCAGTGCAGTTCTGTGGCTCTGACCTGCCACACTCACAACAGCTCCTACGGAGACTCAACCGAGTCCTCTTTGGCGGTAAATGTTCACCCAGCAAGGACCAGGGATGCGGCCTAGGCAGCATCATCACCATCTCAGTGCATCAAACGTGATGCTGACACAGATGGAAGAGGAGTCATCCCAACCTAAATCCAGGGCAAAGTGTGGCACGTGCTCGTCTGAACAACCGATCAGCACCGACTTCTCTATCCACTGTTCAGTCTCTTTGAATTTCTCCAGGATCCTTTTCATCTCTAAACAGCAGGGGAAAGGGGAAGAAAAAGTTGTGATGAAAGCAAATTCATACAACCGTGATGCTCTCTCTGGGTCTTCAAGGCACACGCAATCTTGGCTCAAGGCACGGTGCTCATGTGAGAGAGGGGACCAGACAAGTGGTCCCACCCAGATGGAGACCAAAAGTCTGGCTTTCCGCCTAGCTGTTGGAAGTTTTGACCATGTCAAGCTAAAGATGCAAATGTTGTAATGCCTGGGGAGCAGCTGTCCATTCCGTTTCTGTCCTACACCAGCCAATACCTTTCTCAAAGAAAACTTCCGGCGTTACACCAAATAACCATTGTCAGTTAGACCTTGCTGGTCGCTCTGCCAGCCCTTTCTCTTCAGAAGGCACGGTCCCAAATGTTTAAAACTGATCATCTCAAAACCGATCAGGTATATGTTGATACCGTACGTGTGTGAAGAGCATGAGCTTGTGTCTGCATGCCAAGGTTTTAACTCTAAATAGCCTTTGGTTATTGGCAAATAGCGTGCTGCATACAGTGGGATGTTCCTGCTATATGATAGCTTTTCAAGCCCTATGTAAGGGCTTGTTTATTGCAAATCAGTCTGTATCATTTCCGCTGTGTGATCCAGGAGGTGTTTCTTTCCAGACGCCTGCTTACCTGCTGCACTGAGCTGTGGTACCAAATATTTCTTCCCAACATTCTGCAGGAAGGGGGAGAGATTGTGAAAGAGGTAGAAAGTTCCTGAGGTCTGGGCTTGTCTACAAAGGCTATCATCTTCCTTTAGCTCATTTAAGTATCTGCAGTGAGAAAAGAATTGGGAAAATGAATTCAAGATCATGTTGGCATTACCTGTGTTACGCTTATTTGGACGCGTTTATTTTGCACGGAGCAGGGGGACCAAACAGGCAGTACAGATTTTATGTATTCCACATGCTTCTAGAGTTTTCGACAGCTGAGTCTCCTCTTTGGTGGGCTGTACCCTCTAGCGAAGGTGCTGTGAGGCAGAAGATACTGCAATTCTTACTACCACGTAAGTAGCCTCAAGTCTTGGACATCCGAGAAGATTAGTAAACCCATCTCTTAATCCAAGAGGTCTGGATTATAGATATATATCTATTTACATATAGATATATCTATATAGATATAGACATGATCATTTGTGTGCAGGAAACCTCAGTCTTCCCTTTTATCCCCCCACAATCTCAACGGCTCCAAGTCCTGTTTGGCAAGGCTAGTGAGCACTTCAGTTGTTGAATACGCTTCCCGTCAGGCTCCATGCGTTACTGCAGGGTACGTTCTACCTGTCACACCGATGTGAAGGGTAAAGACCAAGCTGAAGTCTTAGGGCCCAGCTGGCCAGGGCCTGAGTTAGGACAAGCAATCGCTGGAAAAAGGGTGTCAGGATGTGCTTCTTTCAGACTGTTTGAAGTAGTATTTAAAACAAGGTGAGCAGCATCACTTCAAGTCTGCCTCGTATTTTAAGAGATCTTTAGCTAGGACAGCAAGCGTAGGCGTTCATTAACAGAGCTTCAGCCTGAGAGAACCAGTTCTTATCAGTAGTGAAGGGAGTGGAGGGATGTTGACTGTCACCATTTACAGAGCTCACATGGCATTACTATGTTATTGCTGAACTGTTAAAAGGTTAACCCCCAGGTTAGGTGTAGGTAGGGCTGCTGGTGACAGCGGACACAAGAGTGCCAAGCTCCGGTCTTCCCACTGTACACAAGAATCGGATGAGAACTTACCTCATTTTTCGAACATAGGTAGAGTATAACCTGCAGACGAGAGAGGAAGCTCTTCTATACACTGCTTGATAAATCGCAGCCATAACCAACACCTGCAGATAGCTGTCTCTGCCTGAAAAGAGAAGCATAGAATATAATGCAGCAGCCCTACAAAGTTAAGTTTGATTTAAAAGATGCAATAACCCATTGCTACCAGAAATCTCCCTCTCGCAGAGCCTGCAGAATCCTGGCATCTGCTTTCTAAAATTATCACTTTGGTCTTAGTCTCTAGTCACACATCAAACCCAGTTTCAGGCAATTTTTAAGACTATCTAAAGATACCTCAGTTCGTTTCCATTTGTGAGTGTGCGCAGGTCTTGCAAAATTGCTGTAAGACTAGATTAAACGTTCCTGTCCTAAACTCCTGTATCCCTGGGGAAAAGAGCAGTGACGGTGGCTGCTCCTGTTTGTTTCCTACACAGTTGTAATGGCCTCGATCCAACGGAACGTCCTATTGCAGCACACAGTAGGGCTGTGGGAAAGGCCCTGATGCCAGAAGAGAATGAAAGACAAAATATCAGCTGCGGAAGAGAATTCCCCGAATTAGATGAGAGGCGGCAGTTGCAGCTGAATTGGATCATCTCCAGCTACGAAGGTTTTTTGTGCCAAGGGATCCTACCACATTTTCAGCTCAGCTTCAGGATGTCAGAAAATAGCCAGAAACGCTACCACCTCTAGCATTCATCTGAAACAAAAAGGAACTATGATTCATAACCCTTAATGACTATTTTGAATATTTCACTTTTCAACCATAGAACTCGAAGCCCTTGAAGGAGGAAGTTACGTTTGCTTCGATTTACAGACACACAAGCAGTGCCAAAGAAGAGTCTGAGAGTCCTTCCTTTCAGTGAAGGTCAGTGATGGCTCCCGAGCCTGAGCAGAGGCTCTTGTCTGTACGTGGAGGCTTTGCCTTGCGGCTTCTGACATCTCTGCCCTGGATCCCTCTTTCCCACTGTCTCAGCTGAGGGTGGTCTTCACCGGGATGATCCCTGGGGAGAGAGGGGAGCCAAGCCTGCCAGGGAGAGCATCGTCATCGCTGCTCGGCTCTTTGGCCGCAGCAGCGGGAACTCAGCACGCTGTGAGGAGGATGGTGACTGTCGCATACACCGTGTCTGAAACAACTTAGCGGTGCGAGGATTACATGTCCGTCACTTCTCCGCCCCCACGTCTCGTATAGCCTGGTGTGTGAAAATCCCCAGCGCAGCCGCCAGCACTGCATCGAGGAGTTCTGCACTTTGCTCTGGAACGAGCAGCAGAATGTGACCCGGCTGGGGACAAGAGGAATAGCTTGTACCTGGAATGAAGAAATGCAATGTCTGCAAGCGTTTAACCCCTTCCTTCCTAGGAACCACAATGCCAGGTTTTGGTTAGGACCATTGAAAACTCAGAGGTGGAGAGAGTAAAAACTCGATCTCGGTAGGCCAGCCCAAACTGCCCTGTCTTGCCTGTAAATCTCCCCACGCTGTACAGCCGGCGGGAGGTGGACCCACACCCGCCGTTCCCCAGACGTCTCCCCCACTCACTGCGCTCCGTGCAGAAGCAGAGCTGTCCCCAGCAAGAGGGGGCAGCTCCCAGGGTCCCACCTCGACCTCCGAAGCACTGCTCCTACAGCAAACAGCAGGGCAGCCGCCTTACTGGGGCTGAGTCGCTCTTCCTGCACTGGGAGCACTGGGAAATGTAGTTCTGCACAGGCTGCTCGCTAGCCCTTGGCAAAGCTAGATGGCTGACGCTCTCCTCGGGATTTTGATTAACTTCTCGAGTTAGTAAGCCTGCCTGAGAGTAAACGCTCTCTTTTTTTTGTCCTTCCCCCCACACCTGCTTCATTCTATCAGAAACCCACATGCTGTGTTTTGCCAAACAGAAGTTATTACGAGAACAATGCTACTGCACTAATTTGAGCTCTTCTTAGCAGAGGAGTTTGTTCCTGTTCGTTTCTTTTTCTTTCCTCTTTTTTTTTTTTTTCCTTCCAAGCTTCTCCCTTTTTTTGTATCAGTAACATAACAGCATTGTTTAAAGTTAAGGACCGCATGTCCTCAAACAGCAGAACATGCCAAGAGCTGTATATATCTAAAGGACGGAGCTGTTCAGTGTTCAAGCACTCAAACCGGCCCCTGAATTTGTAAGTGAATAGCTCTGATTAGAAAGCGTGCTTTGCCAAGACAGATGTCAGAATAATGACAAATTATTTTCATGCCTTTATAACTGAACAAACAGATTCCTCTCAAGTACTGAAAACATTATTCTGGGCTGGAACCTACCTGCCTATATTTAGCACAAAGAGAATTTTATAAACATACGAAAGTGAATGTTTTCAGGGTAGCCTTTTGCTTTTTGGTCGTGAATTGAGACATTCTAATGGAGGATTCACGTCACGAAATTTGAGAGCATGGCTTGTAAAAATAATAAATAGAATATGCAGGGAAGTAACACTCTTGTTACCAGCGTTACTTGCAAATTTAGGTTTAATTATGCTTGACTGCTATTTGTGTACTTCCTGGAATAGAGCAAGCCCAATTTTATTAACCCACTGGGCTAATTGGATTAATGGACAAAACACATCTTCCCTTAATAAGATAAAGGATTGAAATATAATCTCTAAGGGAAGTATCCACCCTGCTGTTAAAACAAACTAACAGATTTATTGACCCTAACTGCCCTCAGAAATGGATCTTGCAAGAAGATTTAGAGGTTTTAGGGGGAAGCAGTTGGGGGAGATACTTTGGACCTCCAGTCTTGGGACAGCCTCTCAACCTTCTTCAGCCCAAAGGAATCAGTCATTTGGTAAGTGCACCCCTAGCCACACGAAGGATTAAAAGCCAGAGCACTATGCTGCAGCGTTAAAAGACTTCTTTGAAGGCAGTGCAGTGCTGTAGCCTCGCATTGCTATATGCAGCTGAAAAAACCCACAGATTAGCCCACTTGTGTATACCTGGCCTCTGTGCTGCACAAAGATATGCAGAGAAAATGAGATTAGAGTCACTTCTGTGACTGATCTGATCGGTGGGAAGCCACGCAGTCTATCAGAGAATCCTTGTGCCTTCTCCAAGGGTCCATATACCTGCGTGTGATTGCGCATTGCCCTATTAAATAATTCTGCAGCACATAAGCAGGGGAGAGGATTTCAAAAATAACGGAGGCTTTCTCGTCATTTAATCACGTAATTATTTAATTTAAGGAGCACAAGTATCAGTTGTCACTTTGGCACTGAATTGCTTCTTTATAAGTGTTTCTGAGCCGGGCTCTTGAGTTGTATGAATTGCATCTATAAACCGTGTGTATTAGTCCTCTGCAGATACCGTACTCCGTGCTAGAAGCGATCCTGTGAGCGAAGGCCTGGCCGTACAAATACAGCTCTGACAGCTGCCTGTAGCTTACTAATTTGGGCTTTGGCAAGCCATGAGAGGAGGCGAACCCCTGAGACTCTCCTGATGCAAGAAGAGCAAACGAAAGGAGCAGGCAAGGAGGACACAAGCAGTGGCAACAAATACTTGTGAGTTCTTACATGGACAAGATTGCAAAATAAGCAAATCTTTGGTCCTGTGTTTTAAATCTGGATTTGTAAAGTACTCAGATTGGTATTAGCAGATGGTAAAAGATTTTTTCAAGCTAAAGAAGTGGCTGAAAGATGTCATTCTGGGCTACTAATTGTTATACTAGTAATCTTGCTTTTTCTTGCTATTCTGTTTTTTATCTTTCCAGCTGCCCCCAATAAGCAGAAACAAGCATTAGAATTGCTAACAGCTGGCCCTTGCAAAACAACTCTTAATTGCTTTAAATACATAAAGCTAGCAAACTCACACTGGAAGCTTATGGTCAAGCCACAAGAAATCTCTTGGTAAAAAAAAAAAAAATTTCTTTTTTTAGGAAGAGCCCAAAGAAAGGCAAACCACTTCTTTAAAGAGGAAGTTAATGAGTAGTCTTTCCCTCTATCAATAGATTTTTAGATGCAAACTGACCAAATCTGTTTTTTCTCTAAAGTTAGCCTTGTAGTGTACATTATGTCTTTGAGGGACTCCCGCAGTTTCTCATATTCAGGGTGGGGACCTCAAAAGAAAGGAACTGTCTATTTTGAAACTGATGATCACATTCTGTGCTCCTAACACTTGCACGGGTGTAGAGGAGACACTTTAACATCCAAATGACATTTTAGTAGGATTTGCTCATTTCAGCTTATTGGGGTAGCATGTGTGTTTTCTGTCTTTTCCCCTCCCTGCTGCTCTTGGTTAGGGAAGATCCTCAAACCCTGGCTCTGATTTGCTGCACTGCACAAAGGAACGGATGGTAGGATCCAGCCTCTTGACCGCAGGTAATGACTTCATTTTGGGAGCAGACTAGCACCGTTTGATGAACATGTGTGAAACAAGATGAGGTTTCATCTCTTTACGAAGGGCAAACATAAGTTATTAATACACTTTAAAAAGCTAAGCAGTGCTGTGAGCTAACTTGGTATGATATAAAGATGACTCACCTATGGCTTAAAACACTGCATGCGGGTCACAGCCTGTCATCTCCAAAAGGAATCTGAAGAACTGGAAAAGGTTCAAAGAGGACAACAAGCGTGATCAAAGACTTGGAGTACGGCCACTGCAAGGAACTAGGTAGGCTCTGACGCTTCAGCCTGTCTAAGGGATAGGTACCAACTGTTTGCTGTCCCGTCCCATGCGGGAACCTGGTTAATCAAATCTAACCAGCTGGAGCCACGTTCCCAGCGAATAAACGGAAGTGGTTTTCCATGCTCTGGCTAAGGGATGGTGAAACTGCTAGGTAAAGGATGTTGTGGATGAGAAGCAGTTGTAGCTCAAGAAAGGAGTAATGCTTAACAGAGAACTCCATCGAGGGTTGCTGAACAGTCAGACCGCATCAGGCTGAGGAAATCCCCAAGTTAAAAGCGTTTGGAGGCTGGGACAGTACTCTAGGCAGCATGGGCTAACCGAAGGTTTGGTGTGAGCCACTACAATTGTGCTCTTATGAGGCCTCTTGTGCTTCATTCTTGTTTTAGATGGACCTTTCTTTTACTGTCCTTCAGCTTAGGGTCTATGGAGTGCTACACCAGGGTTGCTCAGAAAA